GTATATACAGTATTTAAAGATATATTATATTACTGAACATTACTTCTTTTATTAATTCATATGTTTAAATTAAAGAGAGTATGTATAAAGTTTCCATAAATTAATAGTGTATACTCTAATCAACTAAATGTACTAAATTATATCATAGTTTGTAAGTATATAGATCAAATTAGCTTTATTTACAAAGTCTGTTCTTAACTAACTTTTTCATGTTCCTTTTATCAGTGAGTAAGTATAAAATTTTCGTACTTCTTTAATGTTATATTCTACATGAACTTTAAATAAATATATGTGCATATTAATTACCAGTGTGTGAGTATAAATCTATTAAAAGGAAGGCTCAATAATATAATAATAATTTTCCTAATTTTTTTAATTAATTATCTGATCTAAAGAGAGTTAGTATTTAAGTTATTTATATATTTTATGCGATGACTTTTCATAAGAAATTTAATTAAGTTTTAAATTAATGTACTAGTGTGTAAGTGTAGCGGTCGGTTAAATTGCATTAGAAAATTCTTTAATTGATTCTAATGTGTATTCATATTACATAAATAGCTGGTGAGTTTAAAGGTTAAATATAATAGTTTATTTAATATTTACTAAATTCTGCATAATAAATCAAAGGGAGTATGGAATTTTAATTATATCCGTTTATAAAGCATAAGTTTTCGTGAGAATTTCTAAGCATTATTTTCTCATAAATTTTATGCATTAAAAACTAAATTAGGTGGCAAGTGTAGAATTAAATTATAAAGTATAATGATTTGCTTTTAAATATTCTTGATTATTTATATCTATGCTAAATTAGGTGGTGAGTATATTTTATAGAAATTTCTAATTTCTTTAAGGATTTATTTTAATTATTCTTAATCAACGTACCATATCAGGTGGTGAGCATTGTTTAGATTGTTTCAATTTTAAAGTTAGCTTTATCAAAAATTGCCAAAATTATTTTTTTATCAATTACATCAATAGGGAGTAAGTAATATGATTAATTATACTTACTGTTTCAAAGGGTTCACCATTGTTATTTCTAAGTCAATTAACATAACTTATTAGTCCGTGAGTATAATATTTATTCGCATACATTTATCAAATAAACAGTTTAATTTTCAATTCAATTAAAATTTTGAATTAGGTGGTAAATATATATTTATTAAAAAAAATCGTTACAGTATTACCTGAAGATTTATATTTAACGTATTTTCTAATTGATCACTTGTCTAACTTAGGCCGTGAGTATAAAGGTTCAAATATATTAGTTCGATCTATAAAAACGTTTTATCATTTCTCAAATATTTACTTACATGATAAATTAATAGGGAGTGAGTATGCAGTTAAATTATATTTCAGTATTAGTTAAAAATTACATAGAATAATCATTTTTTCAATTGCTAGCGTGTAAGTATAAAGTTCATTCATGCTGTACAAGCATGACACATAATTAATTAAAAATTCTCCAATTTATACGCATTTTAAATTAAAGAAAGTAAGTATAAAGCTTAATTATCTTTACATTTTTTAAAAAAAAACTATTATAATTTTTCATAAATGTTCTCATTTAAATTAGTCCGTGAGTATAATTGAAGTCTAGCTACAAAAATTAGAATTTACAAATTACTAAATTAGCTTTGCGCATAATCAAGAGAGTGAGTATATGATAAATTAAAACCAATTCTTTATAAAGATACGCATTTAACATAAAATTAAATGAAATACTATTAATACGTACTACTGTATGTTTATTTACCAACAAAATTTCAGGGAGTGAGTATAAAGTTTATTTAAAAAATATATTTTAATTAAAGCTTATCATTTACATGCATATTGAATAGGTGGTAAGTATAAATTTCAATTATATTCATTTTAAAATTAGCATATTACAAAAATTCAATATTCAAAATTAGGTGGTAAGTATAATGTTTAATTATGATATTACTTAAATTAGAATGTAATGTTCTTATGCCTATTACTTTTCATTAAAGGAAGTGAGTATTATATTAATTTGTAAAATATACTATCACTTTTATATAATATTTAACTAATGTATTTGTAAATTAATAGTTCGTAAGTATTGTTAATATTCTAAGATAAGAATGTAATAATATTCGCATTAAAGATTATTTACATACATGTTAATTCAACAGCTCGTGAGTATAATATTATTTCTTTAAGAATTTGGTAAATATGCTTATAAATAACTGAATTATATAATGCATCTCATTTAACCAATTATAGTCAGTGAGTATAAGCATGATGCTTAAATTAACGTTTTTAAAGGCACCCTATTAATTAAATTTAATCAATTGTATTAAACCACTAGAGAGTGAGTATAAATAATTTGAGTTTCCTTTAATTTAATATTTATATAATAAACAGTATAAATTTATATGTTTTTCGGTAATATTTTCAATATTTGATATTAATTCAGTCGGTGAGTGCAACTATAGGCATAATTTATACCATTTCTTTACATTAACGTTAAATTAAATTGAAGAGAGTGAGTATAAGTTTAAATTGTGCCAAATTATAAAATCAGTTTACATTGCGTTATTAAAAATATTGAAAATACGATTTCTTATACGAATTATGTTAAATTACTAGGGAGTAAGTATTAAGCCACACTTCGAGATAATTTAACAATAACGCATTATCTAACTAATATAACTTATTAGTGCGTAAGTAAAATTTCAAATCATTCAATTTACAAAATAAGAGAATTTTACTTTCTCTAACAATAAAACCGTATTAAAAGACTGTGAGTAAATATCCAGTATCTTGAGTATATTTTTCTATAAAATCAACGTAATAGTTTATAATGAAACATTTTCATCAATCAATAATTTAACATTGCTAGCGTGTAAGTACAAAATACAATCATATACACTTATCCATATTAAATAATCTCTAACCCATTGCAATGCATATTATAAAAATTATATCAGAGGGTGAGATGAAGTTTAATTTGTGAAATTAACGCTTGTTAAAGATTAACATATTTATTTTTTTGATCAATTATGCATTTAGACGGTAAGTATGTAAACCATTATTTGGAAGTTCAAGATTATAATAAAATGTTAAAAAATAAAAATGAAAATATGCATGAATACAATAATAATAATAATTTAAGATCTCCTGGTAATGGAAAATGTGCTATTTGTAATAAATACAACACTACTCCCCGTTGGTGTCGGACATGTGATCCTAAATTGGCAACTCAAGGATGGACGAGTGAAATTGAAGAAATTGATGAACTAATTATGGAGTTTCAACGTAAAGCTACAACGTACTCAAAGTTAATTGAATGGATCCCATTTGATAGGCTTAGAGATATTCAAGTAGTTGGAAAAGGTGGATTTGGCTCTGTATATTCTGCAATTTGGTTAGACGGCGTACGAAAAATTAAAGGAAAATATGGCAACTATGTCAGATCCCGCGAAGAGTCATGCATGGTTGCGCTCAAAACTTTATCCGGTTTTAAACCTGCCGATTTTCTAAAAGAAGTGAGTTGATATAGATATTGAATATAGTTCCAAATTTATTAAACTTTAGTGTTAACAAACTAATACGTAAATACTGTTTTTAAAGTTTAAAAATAATGTAGAATGTAGACTAACGGGTAGTTCACTTAATATATATGGATTAACACGAAATACGGAAGGCGAATACTTGATGGTACTTCAATATGCTGATAAAGGAAGCCTTCATAAATTTTTAGCGGCAGATTTTAGAAAACTTAAATGGTTAAGTAAATTACAACAACTTACATTTATAACATATGATTTAGATTATATTCATAAGGCAGGATATATTCATGGAGATTTTCATAGTGGCAACATTTTGCAAACTCAACACGCTGGTGGAATACAGTCTTATGTTGCGGATTTAGGTTTATCTAGAGAAAAAAACAGTCTCACTGTAGAAGGTAAAATATATGGTGTTTTGCCTTATGTCGCTCCAGAAGTTTTAAATGGTAAACCTTATACATCAGCTGCCGACATCTATGGTTTGGGGGTTATTATGGCAGAAATGACAACCGGACAAAGACCTTATGACGGTTACCCGTTTGATTATAACTTAGCATTGAGGATTTGCGATAAATCAAATCCACTACGACCAGAATTTGCACCTAGTACACCCGATTTTTATATTAAATTGGCCAAGCAATGCATGGATTCAGAACCAAAAAAACGACCTACTGCTAAAGAAGTCGGTTTAAAACTTTATCAATGGCAAATTATTCTGATAAAGCCAACAGTACTTGAAGAAGAGCTTGATATTAAAGAGAAATTCACAACTGCTGATAAAATAATTGATACATTACCAGTTATCGAACAAAAACATCCAGATACCATGTATATTAGTAAAATTATTGATACAGAATCTTGTCTTTTAGTACGTGATAGCGCACAAGTCGATATTGTTTTTCCAGATGGTGAGTATTCATTGAACCCACTGCAATTAAATTATTCATTATTTAATTTCATTTATTAATGTTTATATTACTAAAAATTAGATATTAACGAGTAAAATACTATTAATTTGAAAAATTTAATTAAAACACTTTTTACTCAGCGAAAGAGTTGATTTATTGCATTTCATTTTTAAAAAACAATACAAATTTATTTATATATTTTTTCTGTATGTTTATACTGTATCTTAGAAATAGAAATTTTACAAGTTATGGTAGTTTATTTCAAATAATAATTTCCAACCATTTTTAACACTGTATAATTTATTTGGACATTATTTTGTGTACAATTTTCTCAATAAAACTTTAAAAAAAGTGGTTGTAAGAATATAACTTCTACGGATTTATAAGATATAATAATTCATGGCGTTTAATATAAATAAGCATGCTAAAATAAGTTAAGCATTATAAAACGATTAAATAATTAAATAATATTTAATATTAACCAAAAAAAAAAAAAAACTATTTGCAATATGAAAACTTCTAGTGACTTGCTATCTTTAATTATTCTTTAGTACAAGACTAATCAAACCCAGGTATACTTTTCATTCAGTATCCAATTCACATTATCATCATCATCCGCATACCATGCTAAAGATGGCAATGATTCTGTTCTTTCAACAACTTCACCATCAAAAATATTTAAATCTTTCGAGATATTGAATAAACTTAAATCAGGGTTCCATAAAATAATTCGTTTAAATTGAAATTTATTAGCTTCTTGCATGGCTTGATGGATTAATAATTTTGTCATATATTGTGAATCACTACGAAATCTGACAATTAATAATTCATTCTCTTTAAAGTCGTGGTTCCACATGATGAATCTTTCAAGCGGCTCTTCATTGTAATTATTTCCTTTCAAAATAATAGCACCAAAAAGCCTTGGATCCTCAGTACTTGAATGAAATTCCGAATAAAACTTAGTTTTTTGGAATAACCAGTCAAAGGCAGGTTTAGTAGGTAATATCACTACACTTTTCTTATTCAATTTCGTGATTTCTTTTTTAATCAATTCGCAATCTTTATTAATTACGCTTTCTAAATTAGATTGATTAATCGCAATGATTATTTCAGAATTTTTTGAGACTGTCAAAAATTTATCATCAACGTCAAATCTAATCTCTTTATGCGCAAAAATTTTCCATCCTAACCTAGTATAAAAGTCTGGTCCGATTTCTGAATACAAGTATGAGAATTCGGCCTTATATTCGAACCTCAATTTGTCATTCAATAATCTCATCATCATTGTAGCATAACCTTTGTGTCGGTATTGAGGAGGAGTGAACAAAGCAGTGATGCAATAACAAGTCGCTTCTTTGACTTGTCCAGAAGATAAAGTTATTAAAGCCTTACGCTTAAACGTTTCGCATTGTGAATAGATAATCGGTTCAGTGTTGTTTGAATTGATAGAATTGTAATTAGTTCTTGAAATTAGAACCCAAACTTTAAAGTTTTCTGAAGTAAATTCATTGTTAGCAAGTATTTCTTCACGTTCTATATATTCTTCTATTGTTAACACCGGATAACCCCAACTCATATATGAATTGCGATTGGTACTAAATGAATTAAGAAAAGGTGATTAGATATTCGGTTGATAAATGTTTTTACGATAATAATATCATTTACATTCGAGCTTGTTCCGGATTTGCCTCTACAAGTACCAATTCTTGATATTCAATTTTAAAAGACATTTGATAAATTTGAATAAAATGGGTTCGAAAAGTGGAATTATAATAATTATAATTGTGTGACGGTAAATATTGATAACGGTACGGTGTACTTAATAGGAATACCAAATAATATATTGATAAACTTTGTTCTGTAAATGGATTTTTGGGCAAATAATGTTTCCGTGTTTATCAAAGGTATTTTATTGTTTTCTATATATGAACATTGCTCCTATATATGCATATTTGTCAAACATATACTTTTTGTTGTCTCAATATATGCATATTTATAGACATATACTTTTTATTGTCCCCTATACCGGTACGATCACATGAGGATGGTTCCGTTCAACTTTTATATTTTTTCCTGATTTAGAAGGTATTATGATTATCATGGTTTTCCTATTTTAGTAGATATTATGAAAATATCATATGTGTTGTGATGGGCAACCTAGGCGCAGCACCACCCGAAATATTGAACCTAGGTGCCGCACAAAAAATGCGCGGCAGATCCTCGATTTTGATTGGCTAAAATAAATTAAGCCGGAATTACTCATAATTTTACTAATGAA